CAAACCCACAGCCCTCCATTCTGGTTGCTGTCCCCTTGCCTCTGGGGACATGCAGTCATGGGTATTTGTTACCACTGTACATTGTGGTCGGGGCTGAACTCTACCAACTGATTGAGGCGATCTTTCTCCTCCTCCTCTTCCTCCTCCTCCCTCCTCCTTCTCTTCCTCCTCCACCTCCTCCTCTTCTCCTCCCCCTTCTTCCTCCCTCCTCCTCCTCCTCCTCCTCCTCCTTCTCCTCCATCTCCTCCTCCTCCTTCCACTTCCTCCTCCCCCTCCTCTTCTCCTTCTTCTCCTCCCTCCTCCACCTCCTCCTCTCCTCCTCTTCCTCCTTCCTCCTCTTCCTCCTCCAACTCCTCTTCCCCTTCTCCTCCTCCTCCTTTTTCCTGATTTTTTTGAGACAGGGTCTCATGTAGCTCAGGCTGCCCTAAACTCACTGTGTAGCCAAGGATGTTTCTCCTGCCTCTGCCTCCCTAATGCTGGGATTACAGATGTATGTCACCATACCCGGTGGCCATCTTTATTCTGCGCGTGTGTACATGTGTGTGCATAACATGGATGTGGAGTCTCGAGGCTGATGTCATGTATCTTCCTCAAATACGTCCCTTCCATCTTATTGTTTAAAGACTGGGTCTCATTGAATCTGGAGCTCACCGATTTGACTAGATGGGCTGGCCAGCAAGCCCAGGGAAGGGTCCGCCTCCCAGCACTGCGATTACAGCCGTTATCTGGCTTTTACCTGAGTGCTTGGGAAACAGTCAGGTCCTCCCTCATGCTTGTAAGCAAGCACTTTACTGAGTAAATGGGGTCATCTCTCCAGCCCCGTCTTTATTCTCTGAGTTCCTTACAGCGCCTTTCAATCCATACGGTGCTAAGAGCTCAGTGGTGCCGGGCGGTGGTGGCGCATGCCTTTAATCCCAGCACTCGGGAGGCAGAGCCAGGTGATCTCTGTGAGTTGGAGGCCAGCCTGGGCTACAGAGCAAGATCCAGGACAGGCTCTAAAGCTACACAGAAAATCCCTGTCTCGAACCCCCCCCCCAAAAAAAAAAAGAGCTCAGTGGCACTTTTGGGAGGTGAGCTGTCTTTACTTTGTGGCACCCCTCTGAGCAATCAGTAGTGGTAGTGGTAGATGCCTTCCCCAATCTCAACCACCCCCCCGAGCTCCTGGCAGGGCCTTGGACAAAGACCCTCTAAGGTTTGTCATGGTCATTGTCGTTTTGGGCACTGCTAGGGTAACAGCATGTAGCTGTCTGTGTTCCGATTAGGTGCCACTTGTGGGACAGTGTCTGTCCCTGTCTTGACATTGTCTCCATATCCATACATTGTCCCAAGGCAGAGTCAGGCTTCCTCCTTGCTGTTCATCTGTTGGCCCTGGAAGCCAGGGCCTGGTATATGGCAGTGGCTGAGGTCGCTGCTCTGAGCTACACATGCTCTCAGCTTTTCAGGTGCTCCTTGCCTAGTCCTTGTCATAGAAGGTTGTTGTTTGGTTGGTTGGTTGTTTTGTTTTGTTTTTTAATGTAACGGTGAATAGTCTCCTTTTCTGCATTTGCCCATCATATTCATTTGAAATATTTGATTAGTTCATGTCAATTTTTAAGTTCTCAGCCCATTCTTGATTCCATCTCAGGTTGTGGGTGGGCTTCATGAAACATAGTAAGTGGTATAAAACCAGACACTGGACCAGGGATATAGTTCAGGAGGTAGAATGCTTACCAAGTGTTCCTGAAGCCCTGGATTTGATCCCCAGTGCTCCATGAGCTGTGAGTGAAGGTGTATACTTACAATTCCAGCCCTTGGGAATGGAAGCCGGGGAAGAAGAAGTCAGGTTCATCCTTAACTACATAACAAGCTTGGGGCCAGCTTGTAATACATGACATCCTGTCTCATACAATAATAACAACAACAAAACAGAAACAAAACACACCAAAGCCACCAGAAATATCTGGTCGTATCTAGGCCTCATCCTGAGATAGGGTTCTGGATATCTGGGCAGCCTTTTCCCTGTAGCAGCTGCAGCCAGCACAAAGGATGCCCAGGGTGTACTGGCCTTGGCTGCATACAGTCCTCTCTAAAAAGGTAGTATAGTCTCCTTTGTGTAGGTGAGAGTGCTGTAAAAGGTCAAGAAACTTGCAGTGAAACTCAAGCCCTAGTCCATGTGACTGGCCTCTAAGCTTTTCCCTTGGCCTTCCTGGTGGATGAGGGGCAGATCCCATTGTGGCTGGTGCCTGAACCAGCCTGTGCCCACAGTACTTGGTTTGGTTTTTTGTTTGTTTTTGTTTTTTATTAAACAAAACAAAATAAAAACAAGATAGCAAGGGACTAGAGAAATGACTGTTGGTTAAGAGCACTTCAGTTCCCAGTACCCACATTGGGTGGCTCACAGATGCCCAGTAAATCTGATGCCCTTATACGCTGGTCTCTTCCAGAGGACTTGAGTTTGAATTCCGTTACCCATGTTGGGTGGCTCACAACCACTTATAACTCAGCTCTAGGGGGATCCAGATGCCCACTCCTACACAACTCCCACCCCCCACAATGAATTTGGGGGGCAGAGGACAACAAAACCTCTCATTTTGGAAGAAGTAAAGTTTTGGTGCCTTTAATATGACAGCCTTCAAAGGCAATGCATGTTATTAATATTATTTGGAAACCTGGTTAGGGTTTCCAAATGAAATTATTGTGTCTTTCTTTTTATATTGCGTTAAAGTTCATATGTAGCTCTTTGCACTAATCCCTCCTCCTGGAAATGATTAAGGACTGAACATCTTTACTGAGTAGATATGAACATTTAGTCCCCACAGTTACAGTATTTTTAAGAGTAAGCTAACTGAAGAGTTTTTAACTGCTTAATGTAAGCTAGAAAGGAAGCAGTTTTTCCCACAAAGAAGATAATCACACTTGACCTGTGTGCCACTTAATTAAATCAAGTCATCCGAGGAAAATAATCGTGTTCAGTAACAGGAAGCATTTGTTGAAAACAAAGTGGGAATTATTCCACCTTTAGTGAAGAATCGCACCATTAGTACTTTGGAAGATTGGACAGTGCTTTTACCTAGGGGGCTGGCCTCATGGGGGAGGGCTGTTTACTGCAATCGACTGACAGTGCCTCCATGTATGGAGATTAATTTCCTGCTTCTGTCTGCATATTGTCGCTTGTCTTAGGAGGATCTCTAAAAGTTTATTAACATTTAAATAGCCACTTGAAGGATCACATTTTAATTAAAAATCCATGAGGTCTTATGGAGCTCTGAGAGTGAAAAACATCTCATGTAGCTTTACCTGCCAGGCCATCCCCTCTTGTGACAGAGGGTGGTGACAATGTGTTATACTGTAGACACTGGTCCAGTGGCTCTCCTGGTGAAATTGAACAGGAGCTCATTGGCAATAATACCCTTCTGCCGGTAAGTTCTTTAACTCGTGCCAAGTAGCCCCGCCCTCCCCTCGCTGCTCCTGGAGACCCTTTTGTTTCTATTGCTCGGTAATTTCCGGAAACAAAAGGGGCTGGTGGCTGACTCGGTGGTCAAGAGCACTTGTTGCTCTTGCAGAGGACCTGGGTTCAGTTCCCAGCACTTAGATAGTGGCTCACAACCATCCATAATGCCAGTTCCAGGGGCTCCGAATGTCTTCTTCTGACCTCTTCTGACACCAGGCATGCACATGGTACACATGCATACATGTATGCAAAACACTTACACTAATAAAATAAATCTTACCAAAAAATACCTAAAATTTTGTTGGAGTGTGTGTGTGTGTGTGTGTGTGAGAGAGAGAGAGAGAGAGAGACAGACAGACAGACAGAGACAGAGACAGACCCGAGTTTATTGTGCTTTTTTTGTTTGTTTTACTGTTTTTAAACCAGTTTTTCAAACATTTATTATTTATTGTTTGCAGGGAGGAGGGTAGGATGGGGTGGGCTGTGTGCATGGGTTTGGAGGACAATTTGTAGAAGTCAATTCTCTCCCTTTACCATGCCATGGAATCCACCTCAAGTCATAGGCTTGGGGGCAGGGGACCTTTACCTGCTGAGCCATCTCAGCTTATTGGGCATACATAGGTGAGGGAGCTTACGGGTGTATGAGTGACCCCCAAACAGCTACGTTACTGCAAAGCCCCAGCCCATTGATGGCCAAATCATGGAAGCTGCCTTATGGCGTCATTCAGCTCACAGTAAAGCATCCTCACAACACACACAACTGCACCTCAGCCACCCATCCTGGCAATACTGTAATCAAGCCATTTCCTTCTGGGTGTCTGTTTTCTTCTGTGAGGAGGAGAAGCTGGGATGGGGGGCGGGGGTCCTTCAGTGCTACATGGACACTGAGTTCACTGTGACCCCCAGAGGGGCTGCCATGCCTGCCACTGCCCAGCATGCAAACTGTCACAGTCTCTCCTCGTATATAGTGAGGGCAGAGCACCCGCAACCTCCTCACACATCTGCGGGCAGTCCCAGTCACAGGTAGACTTTAGTTTAATGACAGCTTACGAGTGTTGAAAGATTTAGGTGTATGAGTGTTTTGCCTACATGTATGTCTATGTACCACATGCATGCCTGGTGCCCTCAGACATCAGAAGAAGGTGTCAGATCCCCTGAAACAGAGTTGCATAATGACCATAAACCACCATGTGGGTGCTGGGAACTGAACTTGGTTCCTCTGCAAGAGCAGTAAGTGCTCTTCACCATTGAATCGTCTTTATAGTCCTGAAAATGCAAGTTTTTTTTAAAAAAATATTTATTATCTATCTTGTGTATATGAATGCTCTACCTATATTTGTGCCTGCATGACAAAAACGTGCATCAGATCCCATTATAGATGGTTGTGAGCCACCGTGTGGGTGCTGGGAATTGAACTCGGGTCCTCTGGAAGAGCAGCCAGTGCTTTTAACTGCCAAGCCATCTCTCCAGCCCCCCAAATATAAGTTTTGATACTCTAGTTTAGACTCATATTTGTTGGGAGGCAACCAAACCAAACGACCCCCCCCCCCTTTTTTTTCTGTTTCTCTAGGACTCTGGATCGATTTGGAAATGTCTTACAACGGGTCCTTTCTGATGACTCTCGAGACCAAAATGAACTTGACCAAACTAGGTAAAGAGCCTCTTGTTGAAGCCCTGAAGGTTGGAGAAATTGGCAAAGAAGGGTAAGGGGCCATATATGAATTTACTAACCAGCCTTGGGGGCCCAGCCTCTCCCTGCAGCCCGTAAGAAGCAGTGGGGTGTGGGAGCCCCTGCATGGGCAGCAGGCTCAGGGTCAGCACTTCTGAGCAGAGTGAGCTTTACACCCTGCGCCTGTTGGTGTCAGCACTGGCAGGGGTGACACTGTCTCAATTACCCACAAAGTATCGCTGGTGCAGACAAGCAGGACAGACGCCTCTAGGCATAAACTGTTCTGTGAACCCAATCCTTACTCTGAAACCTGCTTCGGCTTCCAGCCACGGGCAGCAGCACTATGGGAGCCAATTAAGGCCCCCTGGGGATCTCCCACTTTAATCACCAGGTCAGAATTATTTATAACCAGATGGTTGGTTTGGGCAGCTAAGAGGATACTCTGTGAGTGTTCTGAGAAACATTTTCCCGAAATAATACAATATTGATTTGCTTAGTAAATTCTTCTCTTTGTAGATAGTACATCTGTTACCCAGAGTTAATCTGATTTAGAAATATTCCAGAATTGTGAGGTAATTAATGGAGCCTGATTTTTGTTCCCCTATGATGCCAGATTCTCAAACACCTTAAAGGTCACTGTTCTGGCTCCACATCTAAATGATACTATTAGTTAAAAGATGTGGCCTCCCATCTGCAGCCCCTGATCCCTCTGCAGGGACTAAACCACAGTGGCCAGGGCTGCCACAGGGAACTACTCTTCGGACTGTGTACAAGGCACTGGCTCTTGGATGTTTTTGCTTAGTTACAGCTGATCGACCCTTTTTAGGTCGATAGTACTGGTAGACCAAGGAAGTTGAGTTGTGTCTTCGAGAGCATTCTTTTGCTCAGATTGTCTTGACTTGCCCGGTTTTGTGTTGAAATGTCCCTGTGTTAGTGATTGGAGACTGTACCTGCTGTATTGCAATCTAACCTATTTTCCTTTCATTTTCTGCTGTTGTTAAAATGTATTTGGATTCGGCAATCTGTGGATTTGTATTTTCTGGTGAGTGGTATTCATCAACTCCCCGTGTGGCATTCCATACCCCGTGAGTGCTGAGCCTGATTTGGTCCCATCTGAAGCCACAAGAAAGTGTCTTTTCATCATGTTCCCAGACACGAAGGCACAGTCCAAGGGCTCGAGAAGGCTGAGAGCAGAGCAGGGGCCGAGGCTGTCCTGACAGAGTCTCCCTGATCTAACCTGTAGTCAGACCAGCTTCTTGTCCTGCTGTACCACCCACTCTGACCCCGAGCACTGCCAGTCTGGCCTTGTGACAGACTTGTGAAAACACCATGGGCAGAAGCAGTCTGAAAGTGAGGTCTCCCGGGCTGGGAGTGTGACTCAGTGAGAGCGCAGTGGCCTAGCATGTGCCAGGCCCTGGCTTTGATCTTCAGCACCATTTTTACTTTTTAATTGTATCGAATAAAGGGGACTGGGTCAGAGCAATCTTTGGTCATAAGCATTTGAGTAAGGAATCTTTCTGGAAACAACTGTACCCCACATAGGACTTTGGGGCTCTGTTGGGAAGGTGAGTCATATACATCAGGTGGGCAGCAGATTGCTTTTGGTCAGAGTCTTGCCATTCAGACACTCCATAGTGACTGATATTCATCTGGCTGTCTTGGCACTGGTTTACATCTGCAAATTGGCTGATCATAGGATGTCATACTGCTTTAGACTGACTGAAAAGACTCCCTTTCTTTGGGAATGTGGCTTTCATGGTAGAATGTATTTCTAAATCCATCTTTTCATAGAAGAATCCTGTATGAAATGTCTATCTTCTTGTTGTGAAGATGCTAAATTATACATTAATATGTTATTGACTGTCACTTACTTTTCAGTGCAGAGGAAAATATAACCTAAAAGCCATGCTTTGTGAGGAAAAGGGCCTGAGAAATGGACCCTTGGGGAAGCTGAGGACTCCAGGCCCTTTCTTTATTTCAGAAAATGTTTCCACGGGCATTGTTTGGCTCTAGAGTTTCTAGAAACATCAAGAGCCCCTGAAAGCCCATGCAGGATTCCAGAGCCCAGCTCCAGAAGCAGCGCTCAGATCTGCTTCCTCAGTTCCTCAGCTGTGAACATATACAGCCATGGTGGGGCTGAGGAGAGGAGAGACAGAAGTCAGCCCATGTGGTGGCTGCTGTTAAGCACTGATGTCGTCCTTAATACTGAACACCCTAGGGTGGGCTGTTCAGTGGACTGTGCAGCGGCCCACAGCAGCCTCTTCCTCCAGGTCTTCCCTTTAGCCGCCTCCACCTGTCCAGGCCTCACGCCGTGCACTGGTTCGCTCCACCTGCCCAGCCTTGGCAGGGCCTTGACTGCATCTCCCCGCTTTGTTCAGTCCCCACTCAAGCCCCAGTGATGCTGGTTAGCCTGACGGAAAGTTTGTTATAGTGGTACCCAGAGGGCAAGATGGAGAAGTTGAAATTTAGGTTGCTTTAGTCTGAAGTTGTTTCCCTTTGAAAAGCTTGTCCATGTCCATTTGTGAGCATTTATCTTTTAAGCTTTTCCTTCTTCAAGCAACATGTCTTCTTGTCACAGACTGGAGTTAAGTCACTTTGGAGCAATAAGGCAGTCAAAATGATCTTCAAGGGCTGGGAGTGTAGCTCAGTGGAAGAGTTCTTGCTTAGCATATGTGAAATCCTAGGCTCAATCCCCAGCACTGTAGAGGTGGAGGAGGAGGTGGTAGGTGCTGAGCAGTCTAAACTGTAGAAAAGAACCTGAAAAGGGCCTTTAAATGAGTCAGAAAAGGATGCGTCCTCCATGACGGATGCTGTAACTGGGCAGTGGGGTGTTTTTGCAATGCACTTGGTACAGCTTGGGCCAGTGTGCAGCTGCACCTGGCAGCCCCTTCTTGCCCCACACTACTGTCTCCCAGCCCCTGGGCCCCTGATGTTCCTAGTATACCATGATTCAGCCTTGTCCTGGATGTGTGTGTCTGCATGCATGGATGCATACAGCTAATGCATGGGACTGGTTTCTTATAAATAAGAGAAATTTGATGCATTCTTTGGAGTGAGGTCCTCTCCCAGAGCTGTTGAATCTGCGTTTTTACTCTTCACTGAAAGCATTTCTTCCGGTCACCTTGTAGAACTGCCTCGGGAGGCAGTGTCATTCTTTTTTTTTTTTTTTTTTTTTTTTTTTTTTGGTTTTTCGAGACAGGGTTTCTCTGTGTAGCTTTGCGCCTTTCCTGGGACTCACTTGGTAGCCCAGGCTGGCCTCGAACTCACAGAGATCCGCCTGGCTCTGCCTCCCAAGTGCTGGGATTAAAGGCGTGCGCCACCACCGCCCCATTCTTTTAACTATTCCAAAATGGTAGCAAGTCAGCCTGCTCTGCAGGTGATTTCAGAAACTACTGGAATGGGGCTGGAGAGATGGCTCAGCTGTAAGAGCACTGCTGTTTTTCCAAAGGACCAGAGTTCAAGTCCCAGCACTCACAGAGAGGCTCACAACCATCTGTAGCTCCAATTCTAAGGCCCTCTTGCCCTCTTCCGGCCTCTGCAGGCACTGCACATGTATAGTACGCAGACATATATATGTTCAGGGAAGGGGAGAGGTGGGGGGAGAGAGGGAGAGAGATGGGGAGAGGGAGAGAGCAGATTAAGACTGCTGGAAGTTGCCAGAAGTGATAGTGATTTTAGAACAAGAAATAAAACATTTAAGCCAGGTGTGGTGGTTCATGCTGGCAATCCCAACACTTGAGAGGCTGAGGCAGGAGACTTACCCTGGATTTGAAGTCAACCTGGGCTACATAGTGAGTTCCACAAAGTGAGACCCTATCTCAAAAGAAAGAAGAAAATTTGGTCCAAGACAGAATCCATGATAAAATTGCTTTCTCTTGAGCCTGACTCCAAGCACATATCTCAGATGGGTTTTGACATTGTAACCGGAATGAGCTTGTTCGGTGGCTCTCTGAGAGGGTAGAACACTCGTCCAGAATTCTGAGGTGTGTTTAAAGCCAGTACACCTTACACATCTTTTATGAGGATGTGTAGTGTGTCTTTCTCTAAAATTATTGGTTACATCATAAGGTTGAAAGCATAAAATGCACATTTAGATATAAAAGCTGCAGATGAGCCAAACAGTCACAGGCTTCATTGGTTCTGGGTTCCACATGATACAGCTCCCATTTTGGATGATGGAGGTGCCACTTGGTCAAACTCAGATTCCACAGCATCTGATACACTACAGCCCATGCCGCATTATCTGAACTACTCACATGAAACCACAGAATGCAGCTTGCTCTCTGTCTTGCAGAGGGTTTGTCCTGGAACCCAAGAGCTCAATGCGGCGCTCACCCTTCGGCATCTTTTACCCAGGGGGTGGAGGTGCCAGATGGTACACATTGGTGGGGACATGAGGGACCGTGGCTCAGCAATCTCACTATGATCCCAGATGCTGCAGGCGGCCCTTTGTCCTGTGTGTGGATGAGGACCTGCCCTGTGCTGTTGGGCCAGCTTCCATACCTCACAGCACGAGGCTCGAGAGCTGGAGAGCACAGCAGTTTAACTGACAGAGAAACAGGACAGTTGTGAAATTTCTGGCAATTTACATTTCTGACTCTTCTTACCTAAAAACCCAGGTCAGTTTTTTAAGATTGACATTTGCTATGTCAATTTGAAACCCAAGAGCATTCTCTTTCAGGATGGTCTTCCCACAGGACCTCCAAAACAGCTCTGTGAGCAGTGAGGGCATAGATGTACTTCTGGACTAGCCAGGCCTATAACAGGAAATGGGGAGCAGGTGCTTCAGGGTAATCCCCTTCAATGTGGAAGTCCAGTGTGTCGGCACAGCTCTGGCTCCATTTCAGAGCCGGGGTGAGCAGGAACCGAGGGCCCTGCCTGGGAGGACACTGGTGGGATCTTCTTACAGCCAGCTCCTGTTTCAGGGTGAGAGGCTCAGCCTGGCTGTCTCATGCACACAGCTATGTGCTCTGCCCTTGACCCCCATTAATCAGGAGACAATTACCCCGGTGGACTTCTAGTGGCTCAAGGAGGTGTCCAAGAGGACAGCAGCAGCAGGGAGACCGATCTAAGCTGCGCTGCCTTCCCTGCCTGAGTGGTTTGCCCTGGTCAGCAAGATAGGCTGTGTTTAGTGACCATTGGTGGCTTAATAGTGCTCAGAGACTGTTCTGTCCTTCGTTCATTTCATGCCCAGCTAAGACCCCGAGCTCTTGAGATGGGCCCAGCTAGAAATGGCATGAGGAAGTAGCCACCTTTGGTAGGTCAGAAAGTACCTCAGAAAGGAACCTTGATCCCACAGCTCTGCTGGTGATCCCTCAAGCCCCACCCCTCCAGAACCCTAAAGAGTTTAGTGAAAGGCAGTGCTCTCTACGGGGCTGAAAAGCCTGGCCTTTAAATTTGTGGTGTTCGGAAAATTCCCCGAGTTCTCGTGTCAGGGGCTTTCTTGAGTCCCCGAGACTTGTGGCTTTGTGCTTTCTCTGTGACCGCTCCCCGCAGGCTATGGAGCAGGGGTGGGGTAATATATCTAATCTCACTAGGAAGGAGTCCAGTCAAAACTAAGTGGAGGGGTAATTAAGCCAGAGAAAGGGACTTGCCTGTGTACTTCATCCATGGTAAGGGACAAGTCATGCCCCCAGCATTAAGCTGCCATCGTAACCCCTGCTAGCGATCCATTCTTTCCATTCACACCCCACACCCTTGGCTCCTGCATTTTATGTCCTCCATCACACTCCACCACCTGTCTTTTTTGGTGCATGCTCAAAATCAACTGCAGTGGGCTCAAGTCCTCTGCAGTCCTGTCAGGGGACTTGACACCGGAGTTTCCTGAGTGAGCAGCCAATCCAGGAACTCTTGGATTCTTTCTTAGTGACATTGACATGTGACAGAAGTTCCTCTTTGACTCTCTGTTGAGTGTGTGAGTGCGTGCGTGCCTGCGTGCGTGCGTGCCTGCGTGCGTGCGTTCACCGATGATGACTTTCTCCCTGTTCAGTTGCAGGCCCAGGGTATACTGTCTGGCCGACAGTGATGAAGAATCCTCCAGTGCCGGCTCCTCTGAGGAAGATGATGCACCAGAACCCCAGTGCTGGAGACAAACAGCTGCTCCCCGGGGCTGAAGGGTGAGTAGATGGGGCTTTTGGAGGCTCAAGAGGTTAAGGGAAGCGGCCAGGAGGCAACTAGTCTTTTCTTTCCTCTCCAAGCTTCTTCCTGCACACTGAGAAAAAGGTTTCAGCATCAACATCCTACAGAGGAGAGACTTTGGCTTTGAGTTGCAGTGTGGGTAAATATCAGAGACTTTGAAGGACAGGCTTGTCACTAGAATTGCATCCTGGGTCTTCAGAGGATGCAAACTGCACGTCACCTCCCCCTGGTGGCCACACAGAGAAGGGACCCGTGCGCACCACAGCCAGAGCTTCTTGCTGTGGTTCTGTGGAGCTGAGCTGCTTGGGTTATTTCTTTGGTGAATTTTGAGACTGTAGATGTCTTAGCTGCTCTTCTGGGTTGTGAACTTTATCTGGGTGCTCTCTGTGTGTGTTCCTTGGACAGTGTGATGATCAGAGTGTGTCAAGTGCCTTTCTGTAAGGACCTTTAAATTATTTAAAAGGAGATGAAGAAACATTAGAGTGCAGCATCAGGTGATTCAGAAACTTGTAAGCAAATGGCAACCTGCTCTCTATGAAATGCTCGGAAGGTGAGAAGGGAGCGCAGATGTTTGCACAGCACAGTTGGTACCTCCTGGAACTGTCATGTAGGGCTAGAGCTGTAACGAAGTTGCAGAGTGCTCATCTAGCATGTGCAAGGTCCTGGACTCAGCAGCTCCCACCCCCAAACACTCACGTAACCCTCTACACACACTGTCCACGATGTTGAAACTACAGAGGATCGCAAGAAACCACTCAGAGACCCTAGGCAAGTGCTGCTTTTCTTGACTTGAATGCCTATGGATGATGCAGCCTTTTCCCTTAAGTTCTAAACCTAAAAGGAAGAGGTGAAAATTCTAAGCCCTTTGATGGACTATCTAGAGACTGGCAGGTTCGCGGTAGGACAAGGCTCCTGCTGAGTCTCAGAGTGGTATAAAGGAGCCTCCTTCTCTGAGGGGTGACTGTCCGGACGTCCACTGTGCAGCGAGAACGTTCCGTTCCGTCTAAACTTTGTACCTTCTCTAAAGTAGTAGTTCTCAACCAAGGGTAGTTTAGCCCCCACAGGGGCTAGTGTTTGATTATGTTGATGGAGAATGTTCTTGCCATCTCTTCCTCAGAGGCCAGAAGAGGCTGCTAAACGTCTTGTGTAGCACAGACAGGACAGTCCCCTCAAACAGTGACCCGTCCAAAGGCGCATAGTGTTGCAATGGAACAGCTGTGGGAGGGTGACGTGCAGTCACAAGGCTTGTGTTAGTCAGAGGCTCGGCAGAAAAAGACGCTTGCCACCAAGGCTGACAGCCTGGATTTGATCCCTCGAAACTCCCCTCCGCAGGTGGCTCACACACACACGCTAACACACCATTGCATTCTTTGTTTGAAGGTATGTTGGAGGTCATCGAACAAGTAAAATTATGAGGTTTGTTGATAAAATTTGACTAATAGTCAAAATATTTCCAAAAAGCAACGGAGACAGAGTTCATCAAAAAGAAGATTGAAGAGAGTCTCTAATACACCCCTGCTGCTAACCGTGGAAGTGCAAGAATGTCGAGGGACCTTGGCTCAACATTCCACCACCCCCGACCGACCGCATATGGTCTGCAGATACCCTTGATGCCCTCCATCACCAAGTGACGCTAAAAGTCCCAACCTACTTAACCTTGGGACAAGAGCACTTCACACTTTTTCATTAGACTCAAGTGTCAGTCATTAATGGTTGTGAATTCTTCCATGACTGTCTCAGGTACATTTACGGATGGTCTTCATATGTCAGGGAAAGTGAGGGTGAATTCGAGGTTCTGTTTTCAGCCTCTTTTCTTGTAAAGCTTGACTCATCCGTCCACTGATAATAATCCCAGCACTTTGTAGCCAGCCCTCACCTCTGCTTAGCCTGGGTTGGACCCACACCGCTGGTTTAGTCCTCTCACGGCCTCTTTCTTGACAGATAGTCCGGGCAGTCAGGAGCCACTTCCTGAGTGAGTGAGGCCTTGGTGTTGGGTTGGGAGGCTTTGTGTGCACTGGGCATTGGTGGCAGGAGGCTGATCTGAGGAGGAGGTTCTGAGTGGTCCTATCACCTGGGGAATGCTGCAGATACAGACCATGGCTGGCACACTCCCCAGGATTTCAGCAGTTGGCTTGGGGTTTACAGTGCCTAAGCCACAGTTTAAAAATTGATGAATAAATTATTCACAGGCCCAGCATCTCTGTCTGTGAATCTCCATTTAAAATTGGTATTCTGAGTCCTGTCAATAGGTCATAGTGGACATGGTGAAGGGGGTAAGAGCTCAGAGCTCTTACCACATTGTAAGTGGCACTCTTGATGAAAATGCAGCTCTGCAAGCCAACATAGCGTGGACCAGTGTGCTGCACGTCCTCTTGGTGTGCAGCAGGCTGAGTAGGAGTGTTAGCAATAGCAATGCCAGTGTTTCCCAGCAAAACTCAAAAGTGACTTTGTAGATGTTTTTTGTTGTTTGGTTGTTTGGTTTGGTTTGATTTACTAGACAGTTTCTCTGTGTAGCTTTGGAGCCTTTCCTGGATCTCACTCTGTAGACCAGGCTGGCCTTGAACTCACAGTGATCCGTCTGCCTCTGCCTCCTGAGTGCTGGGATTAAAGGTGTGCACCACCACCGCCCAGCATTAAAGACTTGTTAGTTTTGTCTTATGTGTATGTGCAAGTACCTGAATGTATGTGTGTATATTGCTCAAGGAGGCCAGAAGAGGCAGTTGGATCCCCTGGAGCTGGAGTTAACAGACAGTTGTGAGCCACCATGTGGGTGCTGGGAATTGAATCTGGGTCCTCTGGAAGAGCAGTCAGTAATCTCCAGTTCCTATACTGTTTTGTTGTCGTTGTTTATTTTAAGTGAATGTCAGTAAGAGGCGGAGCAACAAGATGACAGCTTGAACTCAACCCCTGGGACCCACACAGTGGAAGGAGAGAACTGACTCCTGCAGGCTGTCCTCTGAGCTCCACCCGCAGGTGTCACAGCGTCACAGCATTCACATGGCTTTGTGTACGCGCACACACACACACACACACACACACACACACACACACACACACACAATGTTAACTTTTTTTAAATAAGAAAAAAAGAAGCCCACAACCATATACTCCAGAAATAGACACTGCTATATATCTTACTGAACAGTCTTCCAAACGCTGAAAAGCTTATTCTGAAGTAGAGTTGATACATTTCTTTCTTGCTTGCTTGCTTTTTTTTTTTTTGGTTTTTCGAGACAGGGTTTCTCTGTGTAGTTTTTCGCCTTTGCTGGAACTCACTTTATAGATCAGGCTGGCCTCGAACTCACAGAGATCCGCCTGCCTCTGCCTCCCGAGTGCTGGGATTAAAGGCGTGTGCCACCACCGCCCGGCAAATTGATACATTTCTTAACTGCTGAGTTTTAGTAGAACGGGTAATCCACGGTAGAAGACTTGCTCAGCATGTTCAGGGCCCTCGGTTCCATCCTTCACACCACAAAAACATAGCCACAACAGATATACTAGGAACATTCATAGCAATTTGACATTTTTACAGTGTTTCTATAACGTTGTCAATGACAGATTAAAATTTTAGATAGTTTGATAACACTCAATGTCTTGTCTAGACCTTTTTAAACTTTATTAAAATACTGAGTTTATTTCACATGTATATTTCTTTTGTTGTTGTTGTTGTTATGTTTTGTTTTGTTTTTTGAGACAGGTTTTCTCTGTGTAGCCTTGGCTGTCCTGGAACTCTCTGTAGATTAGGCTGGTCTCAAACTTGGAGATCCTCCTGCCTCTGCTTCCCAAGTGCTGGGATTAAAGGTGTGTGCCACCACCGCCTGGCTCACACATATATTTTTGTCTCCCCAGCATTCCCATGTCTGGCCACCACTATGACTGTCCGATCATAACATTCCATTGATAGTTACAACCAAATAAAGAATAGAGTTCCATCCTTGAAAACTGAACAGGAATTTTAGATAACACATTCTTGGCAATGGAACCTGGACAGCATTTGTCAAGCACAGTAGGGAAATCTCTTACTTTGCATTATAGAAGGACAGCCAGATATCAACTGCTACATAAGTGAATAAGGTGAAAGATTTCAAGCTATTTAAACCATTCAATTTTTATTTTTTTATTTTTAAATTTTTTTTTATTTTTTTGGTTTTTCCAGGCAGGGTTTCACTGTGTAGGCCTGGCTGTCCTGGAACTCACTCTGTAGACCAGACTGGTCTCGAACTCACAGAGATCCGCCTATTTCTGCCTCCTGAGTGCTGGGATTAAAGGCATGGGCCACAACAGCCAAGCTTAAGCCATTTTTAAAAATAATTTATTTATTTTTATTTTATGTGCATTAGTGTTTTGCATACATATGTGTCTGTGTGAAGGTTCCAGGTCCCCTGGAACTGGAGTCGTAGACAGTTGTGAGCTGCTTGTGGGTGCTAAGAATTGAACCCGGGTCCTCTAGAAGAGCAGCCACTGCCCTTAACTGCTGATCCATCTCTTCAGCCCCTTAAACCATTTTCTTAAAAAGACTTTCTCCACTGCCAGGGGTCTCGAGGCTCCTGGTCAGTCATCTGGAAGCCGTTCTTCACAGGCTCGATGAACTTGCCTTCCACTTTGGGGAGAGATCCACCTTTTTCTATACTTACCACATTTTTGCTTTCATGTCTTCTTCAGAACTAGGTCCTTTTGGTGTTTTAGGAGTTTTTTGTGGTGGTATTGTGTTCCCCAAAATATTGTGTACCTTAATAAACTTATCTGGGGTCAGAGAACAGACAGCCACTAGATACAGAGGCTAGAAAATGGTGGCACTCATATGCCTTTAATCCTAGCATTCCAGAGACAGAAATCCCTTTGGATCTCTGTGAGTTCAAGGCCGCATTGGAAACAGTCAGGCATGGTGACTCACGCCTTTAATCCCAGAAAGCAGCCTTTAATCCCAGGGAGTGGTGGTAGAAAGCAGAAAGGTTTATAAGGCGTGAGGACCAGAAACTAGAAGTATTTGCCTGGTTAAGCATTTGGCTGGTTAAGCTTTCAGGCTTCTAGCAGCAGTTCAGCTGAGTTCATCCATTGGGATGAGGACACAGAGGCTTCCAGTCTGAGGAAACAGGATCAGCTGAGGAATTGGCGAAGTGAGATAGCTGTGGCTTGTTCTGTCTCTCTGATCATCCAGTGTTCACCCCAATAACTGGCTTCAGGTTTGATTTTATTAATAAGAACTTTTAAGATTCATGCTACAGTTTTTCCCCTGTTTTTTGAAGGATTCTTAGCCTCTTGATCTTGGTGTTGATGGTTTTGTCTTTTTTCCATTCTGGTTTGATTTTTGTGCATTTTTTGCCTGGAGGATCTCATTCAGAGTCTTCCCTGGAGCTTTTTCTTCAGTTACTTCCTCTTCCTCCTCCTCATCTCCATCACGGTTGTCATCTTCGTCAAGTTTCACTTTTCCTATGGACCCTTGTTCCTACTTCCAGGGGCAGATCACTTCCTATACATACGTAAGAGTTTGATATCCTCCTCCTCCGACTCTGCGTCTTCCTCTACAGCTACTTGGTGCAGTCCACTGATGTGCACAGGTCCTGAACCACAGTTCAGCCTGAAGACCACAGCTGGTGTCATTTCAAAGCCCCCAAGGGGAACTTGGTCGAACAGACCTTTTCACAGTTACCAGTGTTACTTTGAGTGGCCTGCCTTCCTAATTCATTGCCTCTGTGTGCTCCGCCAAGCCCTGAATGGATGGTTGTCATGGTGACTGATGCTCACCTTCATCGTTATCTTCCTTAAAGTGATCATCTTTGTCAGCCTTTAGTTCACAGCTGACGAGATAGTTGTGGCTCATGTCCATGTCCATCAAACTTCCTGAGGTGAAGGAGGCACATACTCTGGTATGAGGGAAGCTGGACAGAGATAACTGCCATTTTTCCTCAGGACAGAATAGAATCACATCAGGGAGTAGACTTCTCTGTCCCCTGTTTTTACTCAGGGTCTTTGATCTTCAAACTGGGATCTTCCTGCCTCAGCCTCCTAAGAGCTGGGATTACAAGTGTGTGCCACCACACTCCGCTTGTCTGGACACTTTGCCAATATATCTGAGTGCCAGTCTGCTCTGGTGGGAAGGCATAAAAAGCACGACATGACAGCTTGAGGTAGCACACGCCTGTAACTGTAGCACTCAGGAGACAAAGGAGGATTCTGAGAGTTCCGAGCCAGCCTGGCCTTCATAACAAGACTCTGTGAGAAAAAGCAGTCTGTCGAACATTCTCTGCTGCGTATACTTAGAAGAGTGCCATCTCGCAAGGATGGCATTCAGAAGGAGACTGTATTTGTCAAAAGTTTTTTAAAAAAAAATATGTATATACATATACATACATATACATATATACATACATACACACACATATGTTGGTTTTTGTAATGAGTATATCTTACTTCTATTAAAAATACAAAGAAAGAGCCGGGCAGTGGTGGTGCCTGCCTTTAATACCAGCACTTGGGAGGCAGATCTCTGTGTTAAAAGCCAGCCTGGTCTACAAAGTGAGTTCCAGGACAGGTAGAACTGTTACACAGAGAAACTCTGTCTTGAAAAAAAACAAAGAGGGCTGGAGAGATGGCTCAGAGGTTAAGAGCACAGGCTGTTCTTCCAGAGGTCCTGAGTTCAATTCCCAGCACCCACATGGTGGCTCACAACCATCTATAATGAGATCTGATGCCTTCTTCTGGCTTGCAGACATACATGCAGGCAGATCACTGTATACCTAATGAATAAATAAATATTAAAAAAACAAAAAAGTTATTGCCATTTTAGGGTAATCAAAACCCAAAAGGCAATGCCCAGTTCCTGGCCTTCTGCAATATCTCTAGGCTCTCCTCCATTGTCAGCACTGGTCAGAATCCATCTGAGCCCCGAAACCGGCCAGCAAACACAGGCGTTCAGAGCTCACACTTGCTGTGCTGAGTAGGTATGGGGCGGTTCAGAGCTGGAGAGCATTTGAGTGATAAACCCTGTGCCAGTGAGCGGTCCGGGGTGCCAGTGAGCGGTCCGGGGTGCCAGTGCTTGCCACTTCCTTTCTCTGCTTCTCAAATGTGGTTACTGTTTTCTTCACAAAGGTATGGTTTCCGGAAGCCACCGTACGTGGAGCTGAAAGCTCGGCCAAAACTTGGAGAGAGAGAAGTGACTTTGGTTCATGTGACGGAGTGGATAGAGAAGAAACTGGAGCAAGAGTTTCAGGTAGAGCTGCCCTTATTGCATGTTTCCCACCGAGTATAAGAACACTGGGTGGAATGGAGGATCTGGATTTCATCTGGGTCCAGATCCTCTTCGAGAATTGCATAGAAGCCATGACCATCATCCTTATCTTGAAAACACCTGTGTTCAGACTTGGGTAGGGTTTTTTTTTCCCCCCGACAGGGTTTCTCTGTGTAGCTTTGCGCCTTTCCTGGATCTCACTCTGTAGACCAGTGTGGCCTCGAACTCACAAAGATCTGCCTGGCTCTGCCTCCTGAGTGCTAGGATTAAAGGCGTGCGTGTAGTTTTAATTATGGTTTCAAAGGCCCTGAAGCTTTCCCACGAACTAGAATCACAAGAAACATAGCAGTGGTGGGGCATGCCTTTGATCCCAACACTGGGGAGGCAGAGGCAGGCAGAGCTCTGTGAGTTCAAGGCCAGCCTGGTCTATAAAGTGAGTTCCAGGACAGCCAGAGCTGTTACACAGAGAAACCCTGTCTCAACAAACAAGCAAACAAACAAAACAAAACAACTATTGCTGTTTAAAAGCTACTAATAGCCGGGCGGTGGTGGCGCACGCCTTTAATCCCAGCACTCGGGAGGCAGAGCCAGGCGGATCTCTGTGAGTTCGAGGCCAGCCTGGTCTCCAAAGCGAGTTCCAGGAAAGGCGCAAAGCTACACAGAGAAACCCTGTCTCGAAAAACCAAAAAAAAAAAAAAAAAAAAAAAAAAAAAAGCTACTAATAACTAGTTTCTGATAAAAAGCCTACTATTTTCACCAGATGGAAAAATGCTTTAAACCTAGTTAGGGGGAAAAACCTCATGCCTTCGGGTTTTCCATTTTTCTTACATCCCTGGGTCTTATTATCATTTAAGTGGATCACTTTTTGGGGGATCTTGGGTTACACAGACCAAAGGAAGGAGAGGGAGGACAGAGATTGGTACTGGAGACAGGTTGGAAAACCGAGGCTGCCGACCGCCCCTGCTCTGGTGCCCTGTGTACTTTCTTGTTTCTCTAAGGGTGTTGCTGAAGAGCAAAGGTATCATCAGAATCCACACACAGTTATAAACAGTGTGCAAGGAACAATCACTGTGTACCACTGATCATCCTTGGGGCAGTCACCATATTAGGATTTTTTTTTCATATGTGGAAAACCCAGCCTACATTTGTGCTAGGATTTAAAAGGATGAATTCACTTGGAATATGTCCTAGACATAATGATTTTGAAATACTGCTTTAACATTGTTAAATATTTCTTACGTAGTTAATGTATGCATTTGAAACTGAGGGCCCTTGCCACAAAGCGGACACACTAGGTTCTTCCTGTATTCGTGCTGTAGTGGAGCTCTTGGCTCTTTCTGAGTTCAAGTATGGAGGAGCTGGCCATTTAGTAAAGTTCTTACTACACAAGCCTGAGGCTCTGAATTAAAAACTCCAGCATCCAGCCAGGCGGTGGTGGCGCACGCCTTTAATCCCAGCACTCGGGAGGCAGAGCCAGGCGGATCTCTGTGAGTTCGAGGCCAGCCTGGGCTACCAAGTGAGTCCCAGGAAAGGCGCAAAGCTACACAGAGAAACCCTGTCTCGAAAAACCAAAAAAAAAAAAAAAAAAAAAAAAAAAACTCCAGCATCCACATAAAATCCCAGTGCTGGGACTTGCCGGCCAGCAAGTCTTGTCACATTGATTAGCTCTGAGTTCAGTGAAAGACTTTTGTCTCAGAAAATAAGGTGGGATGAAATTGAAGACATACACATACGCTGACAGCATGGTAGAACTTGTTTGGATGTACAGGAAAATTTCATTATGAAAGGAGGGCAGTTGTCTCACGTGTGGCTGTTCTTTAATATCTCCCTACAGAAAGTTTTTGTCATGCCAAACATGGATGATGTTTATATCCCTATAATGCACTCGGCCATGGACCCTCGCTCCACTTCCTGCCTCCTGAAAGACCCCCCTGTGGAGGCCTCTGACCAGCTGTGATGGGTGAAAATGGGACATTCCCAGTATGAGACCTAGCTTGAGGTGTGGGATTTGTGGCTGCCATCTGTGCTGTGGGGCTGGCCTTTACTGGTCCACAGCCACTCTCTCTTAAAGGACTGCTTCTGCCCTCTGCCTGCGGTGCCCATTCTACTGTGAGGTGGCGTTCCCTGCACCCGGTGACTAGTGTCTGGTTTTCGGTTGCAAAGCTTGGACTGGCAAAGGAGACTGGAAGAACCATCGTGGTGGGGCCAGAAGTTACAGTTGACTAACACCGTGGCTTGCTTTTTTTTTTTTTTTTTTAAAGTCTACCAGGTTTTGTGGCAGCAAGAGTACATTTGGATCGAGCTGTACAACTGGAAGCCTTCCCCTTGCCTCTTGATTCCTCCAAAGCTTTTCCTCAGGCAGCTGGTGCACAATGGAACATTTTTCCACTCTACACTTTGTACGCATGATTGCAGCCCTCCACACTTGAAGAATGTCACTGTGGTAACCTGTGTGGAGTGTGGTTTTGTGAGCCATTTCATTGGTGGTAAAGATAGGCATAGCAACTCTTTTTTCATATTAAATTGTGCATTTTGGAAGCAAGTAGCCATAGGACACATACCCACAAACACACTTTCAGCTGGGGCGGGGACAGTGGGTTTCATGTGAACATCAGGCAAAGCCATGAGATCAAACTATCCCAAATGAGGTACAATCACCTTGCTTCTAACCAATCCTGATAATTTCCTGGAGACATGAGCATATGTGACAATATCACACACTGCACACAATGACTGATTGTTCCTCCCTGGTACTGATGGAATGGGGCCAGAAAGCCGGAGCCAAGCTGTTCTTTTCTGGTTTTCTGTGTGCTCCAGGAAGCCTCATGTGGGATGGGAGGGCCTTATTCATCTAACTGGTTTGGGAGGTTTGTGGGCAGTCCCCTTCTCTGATGGCCAAAGGAGGACTGTTTACTTCCTAGTCAGCGTCAAGCACTACATTTCCACGTGCACTTGTGACCTTTCTTTAATGTTGCCAACTTAAGTTTGTGCATTGTGTCAGAATGTTTAGTTTACAAATTGGGGCTCTAATTGCATAATTTGCTTTGAGAAGACCTAATACAATTTTGTTCAAAGCTGCATCCAATATCAGAATTACCTTGGGTAACTTTTGATAATTTAATATCTGTGGACAGAGCTAATAGTGTTTTTTTTTTAAACAGCACCTTGCCTGAAGATGACTTTAAAGAAATTAATATATTAAAAAATTATATTTGAACCTTTGATTATTTTAATCATCCCATTAAAACATGACAGATTATTTGATCATTCCAGTCAATGTACTGCCCTAATTACTCATTGTATAGGCCAGTTTGCCTATGAGAGTCCACATGTCTTGTTCACTGTTCCTTTTCTGTGCAGTAGCAACTGAAGGCGAAAGACTAGATAGAAGCACTACAGTGTAAAGAGATTACACGACTGTACCCTGTCGCACTTAAAATAGTATGTGGGGACTTACAATCGCATTTTCACAAAATAAACATCTCATGTCAAACACCAGATAAGCATCTGTTATTTATAGAAAAGCCCATAAAAGTGGAACACTTGGACCCTCAGGCTGGTTATATCCACCCTTCCTAGACCACAGCTATGTTGAGGTGGGAATGCAACTGTGTTATCAGCCTACCTTTATGGGAAGAGTAAGGGGGTAAAATGAGGGACTAATCTTGTTTTCTAGGCAAACTGGCCTTGGGACCGGCTCCTCTAAGCTTTCTTTCTGTTGACTGGTTTCAGCTTATCTGAAATGAGGCTCAGCTGCCTCATTAAGATGCAATGCAGGCCTTATTGTTCCTATTAGAACCACGCTGACCGTGGAATCGGGATGTGGCGATCCCTAACTGGGGCTCACAATTATTCAGTTAGTTCTCTGTGCATTGACCTCCCAATGCCTGTGCACTCTTTCCAAGTGTAAGGGTTCCTCGGCTGACAAACGCCCTGTATTTAGTCGTCGGCGTTGTCTAAACTATATCCCTAATTCTAATTGTTTACTAGTAAGCTAACCCGACAATTTAGCTTGCCTAAAGCTTCAATAGAATGTTTTCTTACTGTTGGGAGCATTAAGAATTCTGTAGCAGAGCGGTGGTGGCACACACCTTTAATCCCAAAGGCGAAGGCAGGAGAGGACAGCCAAGGCTATAATAGACAGTGAGACCCTGTCTCAGAAATTCTCTATAGCATCACTGGATGTTCACCGTTATTCAAACGCCAGTTTTCTTGATGTACTAGTGCATACCATTTGGCTTTACCAGCCCCTGGCATATTTGCGAGTCAAAACACTGACCCCTGACCTTGACTCCCCTAGGAGGCCTCGCCTAGCTGCTACTTTGCCTCCCTCCCCCGCCAGATTTCAGCCGCCTCAACACCCAAGTGCCACAGATGACGATTATACACCCCCAGGTCCAATCCTGATAGGCCAGACATATCTCAATTGTCACCCAACAGGTCCACCCTTGGGCCACGGTTACTCCAAAGCCGCCTGCAAACTGCCTTGTCTCAACCCCAAAGAGCCTTGCGGCAAGGCTGGTTTCGAGCTGTACCTAGCAGTTAAAAGGGCCGTCCGCGATGGGCAGGCGGCCCCAGTTATGCGCTAGCAATTGCTATGGCGCCGCAGCTTAACCCCCGGCGCCACGAGGAAGGACGCCGGGGGCTCAAAGGCAGCGCGTCGGGGACAGTGACACACGGACACCAGCCTTAGAGTCCAAACACTTTATTCAGAGGCTTGGGGAAAGGGTGGAGAGGTCCACGCTGTCTGCTGTCTTCCGCTGGGCAGATCTGAAAGAGAAACGAAGAGTGAGGAGGGGATGGAAGTTGGCGGCGCCGCCATCCCCCGCGGCCGCGGCAGTCGGCTCAGACTCGGATTCGCATCACCCGGATCAGCAGTCTAACGCGTGCTTTGTATGGAGTGTCATCACTGCCGGCCGCCCGCCCACCCACAAAGGTGCAGCCCCTCGGCCCACGGAAAGAACACACTACCTTCGAGGTCTGCCGGTCGCAAAGAGACAGAAATGGTCGCGAGACCTTAACTTAAAGAAGGCTTCCGGAAGTTATTGGGCGGGCTTTTGCGATACTGACCAATAGGAACCCAGCTTTATTGTCATGCGCACAGGAGCGATCGACTCATTGGTCTTGCTTTCTGAGTCCTCCAGAGTGTAGAAAGGTCACACTCCAACCATGGAGCTGGGAAGAAACTGGCAGTTTGCAAGCTGCGGGCTCGCGGCTTCCGGATTTTTTTTTTTCCTCCCCCTCCAACTCAGTTCTGGGGTCTGTAATTAGCGCATCCCTTAGCAGTAAGCCGACCCACGCAAGCAAAAACGTGATGTGTTTGAGGTATTCTGTCCCAGCAGCCAGGCTGAGGGTGGGAAAATGAGCCTAAAGAACCCGGGCGGTAGAAGGAGCTTAGCCGGTGTCTGTGAACGAATCCTGATTTTGTGATGAATTGGGTCATTTAACCCTTCCTGGTCCTCAGTTCCTGACTATCCTCCCACAGCCCTACGTGATGACTCATCCATAATCCCAGCACTTGAGGTTTAAACGCCCAGTTTAAAAATCTTTATTTCGTATATTGTGTGTTTGGTTGAAAGCGTGTGTATCGTCATTGATACCAAAGCTGGTGAGGATGCAGAGCGACAGAGCTTTGCTCCCGTTACTTATGTTTGGGAGTACAGAATGGGATAGCCATTTTGGAAAAGGAGTTGAACAATTTTTTATAAACATCCACTTGCCATGTGATCCATTAATCCCTGGAAATTTACTCAAGACAAATTAAGACTTGTACGCACATAAGAGCTCGTAGGTAATTGTAAATAGCAACATTATTCAAAAGCCCTACCCCCAACTGGGAACACACCAAGGCTCTTCAATGTGTAAATCTAAGCTAATAATGTTGTCTATACAATCAAAAGCTACTTGACAAAACACAATAGTCCTTTGATAGATGTGATGCTTGGAAGTTTCTAGAGATCTTTGCCAGCTGAGTCATCTCACCTGAACCTTTTTTTCTTCAGAAAAGATCTTGCTTGGACAATCCAAACTGGTCTTGAATCATAATCTTGCCTCAGCCTCCTGAGTGCTGGGAATCAGGAGTGTGCTCACCCATCCAAGGAGATTTATCATTTTTGGCTTTATTGATATTCTCAGCTTTTTATTATCTTTGTTTTTTGAACTTCTTATCCCCAGAGTTACAATTACAGGTATGTTCCAACCCCCTGACTCTTCTAGTTTCTTTTTCTTTTTTCCTTTTTCTTTCTTTTTTTTTTTTTTTTTTTTGTTTTTATTTTGGTTTCTCAAGATAGTCTTTCTCTATGTAGTCCTGACTGTCCCGGAACTCACTCTGTAGACCAGGCTGGTCTCGAACTCACAGAGATCCACCTGCCTCTGCCTCCCGAGTGCTGGCGTTAAATGTGTGTGCCACCACACCTGCCTTGTTTCTTTTCTTTTTCTTTTTCTTTTTTTTAAATATCTACCTATCTATCTGTTTTTATTTATTTATTTATTATGTTCACAATGTTCTGCCTGCATGCTAGAAGAGAGCACCAGACCCCATTACAGATGGTTGTGAGCCAACACGGGGTTGCTGGGAATAGAACTTGGGTCCTCTGGAAGAGCAGCTAGTGCTCTTAACTTCTGAGCCATCTCTCTAGCCCAGCCGGCCTAGTTTCTTAAAATTAATAAAGACCTTTCTTCTTTTTCTACAACCCACTAAAAACTATACTTTTCACACTAAGGATTGCTTTAGAGGCATCCCACAGATTATATTTTGTTTTCATTAATATTTGGCTCAAGATATTTTCCAGTTTTCGTTGCAATTTTTCTCTTTTACTCATTGGCTATTTAGAAGCATGTTATTAACTGGGTAAAGTGGTACACATCCACAAAACCAACACTTGGATGATGGAGGTGGGAGGATCAGAAATTTAAGATCAGTCTAAGTTACTTATGGAGTTCAAGGCCAGGCTGGGCTACATGAGAGCCTGCCTCATAAAAAGTTAGGGGCTGGAGAGATGCCCAGTGGTTATACGTGAGTTGAGTTGAGTTCCCAGCACCCGTGTCAACAGCTGGCAACTGCCTGTAACTCCACTTCCAGAGGATATGATGCTCTCTTCTAGCCTTCCCAGTGGTGTAGGTGGGCACAGCAGTGACTTACAGTGGGCATTTGGCTATTACACAAATTTGCATCTACAGATAAGAAACCTGGAGGGGCCGGGCAGTGGTGGCGCACGCCTTTAATCCCAGCACTCGGGAGGCAGAGCCAGGCGAATCTCTGTGAGTTCGAGGCCAGCCTGGTCTTCAAAGCGAGTTCCAGGAAAGGCGCAAAGCTACACAGAGAAACCCTGTCTCGAAAAATAAAAAATAAAAATAAAAAAAAAGAAAAAAAGAAACCTGGAGGGCCTTGGTTAGGTAGTCCTGGTTCTCGATCCTTTGTGAAGTTTCCATCAGATGGCCACCTTCCTCTGAAGGCTTGTTAGGATCGGGTTATCCACTCCAGCCTCACTCTGCTCTGGGCAGTCAGCTTCAGTTCCTTACTGCATAGGTCTCTCTGGCACTGCTTGTAGCATGAAGCTGGCCTGCTGCTTCCCTTGGAGTAAGATGGCTGGGAGATGGACAGAGGGAAGGAAGAATGAGAGCTGCAAAATGGCCAGCCTTGGAAGGGGCATGCCATCACTTTCCACAATTTACTGATCACTTGAACCAACCCTGGTGCAAAGTGGAAGGGGCCCACACACGGAGGTGGATACCAGGACACAGGGATTTAGAACTACCCTCTAGGAGGTCAGCTGTCATTTTCCAGACTTATTTAATTGTCCAGCACTTGGTCTGTTTTTGTGTGTTTGTGTATTTGTTGCTGTTGAGGGTAATGTTCCACAAGTAGCTTGTCGACCAAGGCACTGCTGGTGTTATTCACATCTCCAACAGGAGTGAATCTCCAGCAGTGGGGCAGTGTTGCCACTTATGGGTCATTTGGCAGTGTCTGGAGGTAGTTTGGCTTTTTACAAAGAGGAAGGCTGTCACTGACACCTGTGGGATTGTGGTGTGGGCTGAGTTGTGTCCTCCAGAGAGAAATGTCGTAACTTCAGGGTCTTTATCGATGTCATAAGTTAAATTAGAATGGCCCCTAATGTGGTGTGACACTCCTGGTAAGAAGAGAGGAACTCAGACCTAGAGACGCACAGGAAGAAGATAGCCATTTAAGGACAAAGGATGCTGGAGAGGTATTCCTACAAGCCAAGGGATAACGGGTGTTCAGAAGCTGGAAGAAGCAGAAGACAGTCTTCCCCGAGAGGATTCAGAGGGAGCCTGGTATTACTGGCCCTTTTGTTTCAGACTTCTGGCCTGCGTAACTATGAAAGAAATGGCTATTGTTTTTTTGATTGGTCTCAAATTCTTTATGAAGCCAAACTCCCAAGTGCTGAGATTAAAGGTGTGTTTCACTATATCCAGCTCTCTATTTTATTTTGTAATTTTATCTTATTTGTATTACTGTTTGTGTATATGTGTGTTTGCATGTGTGTGGTGGTCTGATTGTGTGTGTGTGTGTGGGGGCGGTGCCCATGGCATAGAGTGTGTGTGTAAATCAGAGGAGACCTTTGTGGAGTCAGCTCTCTCCTTGTCCCTTTATAAGATGTGGTGGTTTGAGTGAGAATGGCCCCCATAGGTTCATATGTTTGAATGCTTGGTCCACAGTTAATGGAACTGTTTGGAAAGGTTTAGGAGGTGTGGCCTTTTTGGAAGAGGTGTGTTGTGGGGAGGTGGGGGACACATGGGACTTTGAGGTTTCAAAAGGCTAAACTGGGCATTCTTTTTCTCCCTCCCTCCCTCTCTCCTCCCTCCCTCTCTCCTCCCTCCCGCTTTCTGTGTCCTCCTCACTCTCCCTTTCATCTGTGGATCAGGATATAAATCTCTTAGCTGCTTAGCTACTGCTCCAGGGCCATGCCTGTCTGCTTCCTGCCATGATGGTCTTGAACTACTAATCCTCTAAAACTGTAAGCAAACTCCAATTAAATGCTTTATTTTCTAAGAGTTGCCTTGGTCATGGTGTCTCTTCACAGCAACAGAACAGAAACTAAAAGATACGGGTTCCAGGGATCAAACTGAGGTGCTCAGGCTTGTGTGTCAAGCACCTCTACCCACTGAGGCATCTTGCTATTATTGTAAAACATCTGGTTTTGCGCACTTCTTGTAGCATCCCTAGGAAATGAATATAGGTGAAGACCAGAGGGACCACTGAACATCTACAGTGCACAGGACTGCTTCTGCTGCAGTCCCAGGATTATCTGACCAATTAAAAAGAAAGTACAATTTAAAATAAACCTGGCCCCAAAATGTCGATAGTGCAGAGGCTGAAAAACCCTGTCTTCTCCCTCTGGGTTCTCGTCTATCAGCAAACTAGAGAATGTTGAAATCTAGTTTCATTGTTGCCCATCGGTTGTGTCTACCTTGGCTTTGTTTTCAAGTTCAACTTAAGGTATTTACACATTTAGGATTGTTACGTTTTATTCATGAGTGGGTTCTTTCACCATTGTGAAGTGTCCGTGTTAATTCAAAGCTAGCTCATCTGATACCAGCATAACCTTCCTAGTCCCCCCCCCCCCCCCCCCCCCCCCCCCCCGCCCCCAGCCTTTGTTATGTAGCGCAGGCCAGTCTTGAACTCACTGTGTAGCCCATGTTGACCTCCTACGTTAGCCGCTCCAGGGCTGGGATTGCAGGTGTGTGCTGCCACGCCTGGACTGCTGTCCTTCGGGAATTTTTTTTAGGTCCTGTCTTTCTCTGTCTTTTGACTTTTAGCCTCCTACATACTTATGTTTGAATTTTAATACCTGTAAATATAATTGAGTCTTGAAGTTTTGAGAGTTTTTTGTTTGTTTTAGTTTACATGTCTGCCTTAAAAAAAAAAAAGAAGATAAATTTTATTTTATGCGTGTGGTGGTTTGGCCTACATGTATGTCTGGTGCACCACCTGTCTGCGGTGCCTACAGAGGCCAGAAGAAGGTGTTGGATCCCCTGGAACTGGAGTTACAAACAGTTGTAAGTTTCTAAGTGGGTGCTGGGAATTGAACCCAGGTCCTCTGGAAGAGCCATCGTTTCTCTTAACCATCAAGCCATTTCTCCAACCCCCACGTCGGCCTTTTAGCTGGTATATGTAGACCATTTACATATTTTAGTAGCTTTACTGAAAAACAGCTACAACCTACCCATTTAGAATAATCCAGTGGCTTTACTATATGAACGAAGTTGGGTATCATTACCATTATTAACTTTAGAATGTCTTCATTAGCCCAGAAAGAAACCCTCTGCCCTGATCATTATGTCTCAACTTCCTCATCCTCTCCTCCAGCCCTAAGCATCCACTTGCCTACCTTATGTCTTCATCTGCTTGAGTCCTCTGTGTGGACAGGATGGTAAGAACGTGAACCTTTATGACTGGCTTCTTTTACTTTACCTTTTCTTTTCTTTCTTTCTTTTTTTTGGTTTTTCGAGACAGGGTTTCTCTGTGTAGTTTTGTGCCTTTCCTGGAACTCATTTTGTAGACCAGGCTGGCCTCGAACTCACAGATATTCGCCTGCCTCTGCCTCCCGAGTTCTGGGATTAAAGGCGTGCGCCGCCGCCGCTGCCGCCTCCTCCTCCTCCTCCTCCTCCTCCTCCTCCTCCTCCTCCTCCTCCACCACCACCACCACCTGGCTTTACTTAACATTTTCAAGATTACAATCTTGTACTTTATGTTAGTATTTCATCCATCTTGATTGCCAAATAGTATTCCCTGAAGTGGATAAACCACTTTTTTTGTTGTTTTTTTTTTGTGTGTGTGTGTGAGGGGGTGGTACAGACAGGGAGAGAGACGACATTTGTAAAAACGCATGCCGTGGCACACAGATGAGAGAGCAACCTCAGGTGTCATCCCTTATCTTCCATCTTGTTTGAGACAAGGCCTCTCATTTGCTGCTTTGTATGACGGGCTAGCTGGCCATGGGCTTGTGAGGATTGTCTTGCCTCAGCCTCCCATCTTGACACAGGAGCATCAATTACAGATGTGTAACATCGTGGCTAGCTTTACGTGGGCTCTGGGGATCTGAACTCGGGTCCTCGAATGTGAGCAGCCAGTGCTTTACCCATTGAGTCCCCTCCTCAGCCCTGTACCAGCTTTTGTTTACCGTGGGTGGTGAACATTTGGACTGCTCCATTCTGGGGAAATTATGAATGAAAGGAAGTCCTGGGTTTCACTCCCAACACTGCAT